AAAAGCTTGTGAATACCTAAAGCATGCTAAAGCTAACTAATAATAATAATGGGTGTGTCATGTATAGAAGTATTAAACAATAGGGTTTTTATCAGAAAGCACAATTTAAGACTTTCAGGATCAAGCTGACTTTGACCTTGATTGTAGTGACAACAGTTTTTATGTTTTTACTTTACAATCAGGCAGGATAAATGCATATATACATGTTCTAAATGCTTTTCATTTCTACAGTCCAATTGTTTCAAAGTAAAGGATTTCATGTCTCATCTGGCATTTAAGAAAGTAGTTGAAAAAGCACCTTGTAACCTTGCCAGCCATCACAGAGAATGCCTGTAGCACTTCTTCGGAGAGTTTCCTTTCTGTAAATAGAGTATATGCACCCACCCAGATAATGCTGTATCTTGCCTCTTTATGTTGGCCTTGACAGAGGAGACAAATCCTTATGTTAGCAGTGTCAGACTTTCATGCACAAAAACCAAAAGTGACACAGCGCCCAGGCAGTTTGAGGCTATAATGTGCCGCTGCTGGCGTTTTACTATCACCGTGCTGTATATGTTTTAGCTTGTATACAAAGAAAAAGAGAACCTTGTGGTCCTCAAAGTCTAGGTTGTGCTTTCCTTGTCCATTAGCCCTGTTGTCCCCCATGTCCTCCATTTATTTATTTTTATTCTCCTTGCCCTTTTTTCCTATTTTTATTCGTTCATTTTGAGGTCTCTCCAGAGGACTCTGTAAATGGTTTAACATCCCAGTTGTTACTTAAACAGTATGGTCTGGGCCCCCTTCTTTGCTCTGTGTGTATAGAGGAGAGAGCACGATCCTCAAAGGTCAACCGGGGCCCCTGGCACTCGGGCGGACACGTCAGGTAGCACCCCATTTCTCTACACTGGTATGATGAAAATCATGGTGATTTTTATGAATACTAGAAAGTTCACAATATTCATTTGTAATGATAACACCATTGCTTATGGCAATGTGTTTACTGCTGGTTTGTAGTCTTAGGCTGTCATGATAAGGTTATGTTAATGCTTAGCCTTGACACGCACCTCCCCCCTCCCCTTAGCCTGTTGTCTTGTTCCATCAAAGTAGTAAAGGTAATGTAATGACACATACTTCAGCACAGAAGAAATGCTAACCTTGTCTCTGCTACAGAAGGTTGTAATCAGTGCACTCCATTTTGTTTTGTCATCATCCATCAACACCACTTCTGCCTCAGTCATTTGATTTAATGCAAAATGTGTATCAGTCTAAAAGGCTGGCACAGTTTCAGCATGATTTCTTCTTTAGAAATTAGTTGAATGTCCTGAAGAGAGCTGGCCATGACACGTTACCTTTAGCAGTACAGCTACCAGTTTAAAAAACAAAAAATAATACTTGAATGTGGACAGGATACAGTGAAGGCACAGATGTACTGTGTAAATCATGCAAACTTAACACACCTGACAAAGAGGCCAAGGAGCAATCATACACTGAGCTTTGAAAATACTGCACACATTTCTTCATTGGCATAGCAGTTGCATACATACATACAGTACATACAGTACAGGCCTGGATATATATATATACTGTAACACAAGCTTAGCCCATGAGCTACATGTGCTGGACAACTGTGTTTTGGAATTACACGAATATCTCATTGTTTTTTCATATGAACACATTTTCCATATTGTCCACAAGCTTGTCAGCGCTGAGAAGGAGCAGAGTTAAAGAAAGCTTTATGCACAGAACAGCTATGTTTTACCCAGACGTTAGATAATCATTGCCAGTTTTGTGGAGTCACCGTCTCTCATGGCCTCTCTGCTATGAATTGTATGCTTCCCTGCACTAGTCCCATGACAACACTCATGACAGATTTTTCCCTTCAAGCAGATAATCTAAAACATGCTTGCTCTATGACTGTAGGCTGAGCTCCTATGAGGAGGAAGTGTACAGTATGTGCCTATAGAAAGCTCATTATCCACAACATGCAGTAGCAGCTTTTCTCAGACATTCAGCCCAGGGACTAGTTATCCTGTATGGGCTGCACAGGACTCTACTCGCTCCCATAATGAAATTACCAATTAGGCAGGCAGGTGAGGATCACTTCCGTTACAAGTGGTATTTGTTACATGGCACCACATCATAGAATTTTGTAAACACCCTTTTTATATTTATATAAGTAAATGTTGTAAATGCTCAAACTAAGCCCAAGGTGATTTGTATTGAGACATTTTATGTACACTTTATTGTATAAATAGATTATAAATAAGGTAAATTTTTATGTGCAGGTATTTTACGCCATATTATTTATTAGTGGGCACATTTTATTCTATGGATCTGGGTAATAGTGAGCCGAAGTGAAACCAGAACTTGCGGGTTCTGGAAGAAGGAAAAGCCCATTCAAAACCTCACTGAGATTTCTAATCTGTCTACTAAGTAAAAATCCAGCCTTGGAACACAGCCATTTTCAGTAGTATGCTATGAGTCTCACTACATTATCTTACAATATAATGATATATTTCTTTAAAACCACAAAGTATTGACAGTAGCATAATATTTCTGCTTTTACCTGGCTTTAATTAACACCATTTCTCAGAAGCCTGACCCCATGAGGCTGAAATGTCACCAGCTGAAGCTGGTCGACTGGCGGGAGAATTGAACTAAGGTCCCGAATGAAAAGATGGCTGTAAATATTACAAGCGTAATTTTATTTTTATTTTTTTACAACTTAAAAAGTTGAGAGTTGAGACTAATATCAGAAACATATGGTTACTGTTGTGCTACATCAATGTATAATTTGTGTACTGCAAAGTAAATTAATTAACCTTGTTAAAACCACAACTTTGCCATAACTTTTGTAGCTGTTGGTGGCTTGATATAGAATATGAAATCAAATCCATGTGCTTAGTTTTCTTACAATGACCAATGAAAAACTGCTAAATGAGAGATTGCATAGAGTCACTTGAAGCTGGTGGAACAGAGATTAACAGGCTGATGTGAAAGGACTTCGGCTCTCTATAATGCCACCCTATTATATTTGTACAAAAAACAATTTTTGTTAGAATAAATCTTGTTAATAAACATCTTAAAAGAGTAAACCTGTTAAACTGACAAAACAAGATGCATTAAACAGGCCTCTGTTTATATTTTGCATTATTATAAACATTAAGTTGTTAATTTGACTGTTTACTTTTTTTATACTTATGAACACTAAGTGTGAAATTGTTCAGTTAAGTAAATTTCTTTATGATTTTCAGCATCATGTTCTGTGACATTGAAGAGGACATGTCTAATAACTCCTTAAGGAATTAGAGTATTTATTTTGTTAGTGGGCTTTTTCCAAACAGGCTGGCTCAACAGTGACATATTTTGCTCAACAATAAAAGATATTTTAATGTTACTTTTAATTTTCCCAGTTTTTCAGACTGGGTCCAGAGAGTTTATTAGGTTTTCACCTTACTGTCAGCATTATGTCATCACCACACATTCCTAAAATAGTCTCCTATCATCGCCACCACCATCCACCGCTTAGAGTCTGTGTTAGAGACAACGACAAGGTTAGCATTTCCAACTGCCTCTTTTTATTTTCTGCCTTTTTTCTTTAAGCCTTGGATTTTGTCCTTTCTTTAACATGTGTAAAGCATAAAGTGGTAATGGCACAATGATTATGAAGTATACCTCCTCAAATTTACTTTCTGCCTTTGTATTTGTTCTTATGTATTTACCTGGCTCAGGTGAGATGCAGCTGGAGTTTTGGATTGAGTTGGCTTCTGTTCAGTCAGCAGCTGATAAAAGCAGTAAATGGGGATAAAATGTAATAAAGTGGGGAAAAAAAGAAATGTGAATCAGTTTAATTCAACATGTAAGAGTAAATGAGATGGGACTTAGAGTTGGGGTTAGTTTGGGGAGAGATGGGGAGGTCAGTCCTTCACCTTCCATCTCTTCTCCATCTACCTGTTGAGAAAGTGGGTTGGTGCGGGTGGTTGATGGGGTTGGGGGTCGATGTGACTGCTGCTTGTGTGTGACTGTGGTACAGAAAAGCCTGTGTCTATTTTAGGGCTTTACTGTAAAGCTTTCACCCCTGCGTGATTGGGTGGGAGACCCCCGCCATCTGAGCCCCCCATATCTGCAGACTACTAACTGCAGCGGGGAGGAGCTGGAGGAGCTTTGCCCCTCCCTCGTGAGTACACGCCATAGACGCTACTTCCTTCTACTTTCCTCTTTTTCCTTCTTCCTCTTTTTGTTCTTCTCTTCTCTTCAACAGACCTGTGTCACCCTCTCTTCTTCACGCAGTTGCCTTAACCTAGGGCTCTGTTTCACTGAGAGTAAATGTGATTCTCGTCTCTTTATAGACTTGCCCTTGTCTTAGATGTTTTCTGCAAATGGCCATGTTTTATTTCTCTGGTACATCGTTTGTATCAGAACTTACAAAAGATTTGCACCAGTGGTGGAAGAAGTACTCAGATCCTTTAAGTAAAAGTAGCAATACCACACACAATGTAGAAATACTTTTAGTGAAATAAAAGTCTGCATTCAAGCTTATGTTTTCACAACCAAATATGCTTGAAATACTGAAAGTAAAAGTGCTCATTAAGCAGAATGACACAGTACACATTAATGTATATTATATTATTAGATTAACTGAATAGCTGGTAATGTGGAGGTAATTTAACGACACTATAAACTTATAGTTTGAATTACTGATGGGTAGCTTGTGAATTTGCCAGTGGGGATCAATATATCAACACCACCAGTGATTTTCCTCTGCTCACTGTCGGTGTCTGTCGGTCCTGGATCAGCTCACTTGTCTGTGCCATAGCCCTCCACTGTTGTTCAAAGACAATTAAAAAGACATCTGGGAAACGCACCACTGCACTTAATGTTGCCTCATTATGAAACAACAGACCTTGATATTTGTTGAGAATTCAGAGATCTCGTGCACGGGCCTTTGACTCTTGGTCAAGGTTTTGGCTGTTTTGATCCTTTGGGTTGACATTTTTACAAAATATCAGAGTGTGTGTTGTTTTTTTTAATGAGAAAACGTCACCCAGTGCAGCGGTGTGTTTCCCTGGTGTGTTTTTAATTGTTTTTGAACAACCATGGAGGTTTATGGTACAGATGAATAAGCTTATCCAGGACTGAAAGACATTGACCATGAGTAGAGGTTGGTTGTAGTCTCTTATGGGGAGTGTTGATACTACTGTTAACATAGAAAATGGCCAGCCTTGTCCTTTACTCTGATACTGAAAAGTATCCAGTAACTAAAATGATCAAATTAATGTAGTGGAGTAAGAAGTACAATATTTTATGAAGTCGAAGTGTGAGGTAAAAAAAATGAAAATACTCAAAGGACAAGTACCTCAAAATTGCGATTAAATACAGTACTTGAGTAAGTTACTTACTTTCCACTGTGCAGTGTCATTCCTTGTAAAACGTTCAGACAAGCACATTGACGAACCCATCTGCTTAATATTGCTTTGCACACATTTCAAACAAGGTAACATTGAGATTGGCTATAAAAGCAGATGGGCATATGGAACATGGTTGCCCACTAGCATTTGGAACTAAACGCTGCACTACATTTTATGTCATAGACCTTCCTCTTAAAACCTGCTAAATAACCGAATAATCTCCAGACACCATCCTGTGTCTTTCTGCTGTAGTAGTTGGGCTTGTCGGCCTACTAACAGGCCGTGTGTAGTGTGGTTAACTGGTTAGTTAAATGTCTCAGAATAAACACAAATGCATGAAATTTCAGTGAGAGCATTCATATTAAGTTATAAATTCAGAACTATGTCAAAACAAAGACTCAAACTCACTGTGTGGTGACTTGAAGCTGTGTAGCGGCAGAGCTGCTTGTCAAACAGGGCAGCAGTCAAGAGGAGTATTTGAAAGCACATTTAACGTGTAATTGTGTTTAAAAAAGACCGCCTCTGTAAGCTCTTTAAAATGGGCTTATGCTGTAATTGAATTATTTTTATTAGAATGACAATAGCTCTCATTAGCATTTAAAAGAAAAGATTCAGACTGCAGTGTAATAACAGTCTGCCACAGTCAGAGGTCTAAAATGAATTCTCCTGCTTGGCATAATTTCTTAGTAAACAGAAAAAAACCCTCATCTTAAGCTGCTGGCTTCATGCACTGTTGTAGTTTTAAGAAACCTAACTCCAGGAAGAGAGCTGTTTGGTTTACATGCACCTGAGTGGCGTTTCACATGAAGAGGATCAGTGTGTGAATGGAGGAGCATGCATATTTGTTAACAACTCAATTAATGATTCCCCCCCCCCAATATAAAATTAACACAGACATGGTCTGAATCAATCTGTGTAATAATAATCTATTACTGTATTGAATTCAAATAGCTCATCAACATGATCCTGTTTAGTGAAGTGCTTTCTCGCTGTCCTTGCACAGTATAGAATAATTAGTGTAGATGATTAGATTATGTTCTTCCGGCTGCCTCTGCATCTGCCTGAACCTCTGACTTCCTGAATTTCCCAGGGTTCACCGCCATCACAGCCACCAATCCCATCTGGCTAATCAAGACTCGTCTGCAGCTGGATGCCAGGTGAGGAACCTCAAACCTTAGTGTCCTGAGCTTCAATGCAGTTGTGGAAGAAGTCCTATGACTCATTCATTTTCCAGTAATAATGTAATTAGACTTTAGTTGGACAATTCTTTTTATTGTTACAGAAACCGAGGTGAGCAGCGAATGAATGCATTTGAGTGCATGCGGCGAGTGTACCAGATGGACGGCCTGCGAGGTTTCTACAGGGGAATGTCAGCCTCATATGCTGGCATCTCTGAGACTGTTATCCATTTTGTCATCTATGAGAGCATCAAACGTAAACTGCTGGAGATCAAGGCCAGCACTAGCATGGATGAAGAGGAGGAGTCTGTCAAAGATGTTTCAGACTTTGTGGGCATGATGCTTGCAGCGGCCACCTCTAAGACCTGTGCCACCACCATTGCCTATCCTCATGGTAACCTTCTGTCTAACTCGCCTTAAGCTTTTTTTTTTTTTTATGCCGGTGTGCTTTTGTTTTGTCAGCAACCCCCCTGAAAAGACCAAAATCAGTGGCCTGTTAGTCAAGGATTTCTCATCACTGAAGAAATAACAAGTGTAAAAAAGGATTAATGTGCTAGTGAGTATTAATAGCGGGAGGGACCGAATCACAGTAAACTGCTGTTTACTATAAGGAAGGAACATGTCAGTGGGTGCCGTGTTTTAGCTGGTGCTCTTAGTAGTTTTTGGACAGAAATGAAGTGCACCACTTAAAATGCCATATCTGACAGAACTTGGTAGTTTTTTTTTTTTTCTTGGTTGATGGTTTTGGACTTGCATTGTATTTAGTGACAAGAAGAAAAATGTGGAATATCTCCAACCTTATCCCTTTAAAAGGCTAATTCAAACCAACAACTAACAGCCCTTACTGTATTTAACACTCTGCTCTCAAATTCCAGAGGTGATTCGAACACGGCTACGAGAAGAGGGCAGCAAGTACCGCTCCTTCTTCCAAACTCTGCTGACAGTACCCAGGGAGGAAGGATATCGGGCACTGTACCGTGGCCTAACCACCCACCTTTTCAGACAGATCCCCAACACCGCCATCATGATGTGTACCTATGAAGTGGTGGTCTACCTGCTTGGCCGTTAGCTCACCAGGACTGTCTCCTTCCTGTTTAGAGAAGGAGATGGAGAGAAGAATGCCCTTTGGCATGTCAAAATGAAGACCAAAGGAAAACCGAAGATGCTATAGTGTACCAGGAAAGAACAAATGGAAAACGCATGAAGGAAAAGCGAGGAAGAATGCCATGTGTTACTATTTCAGCACCAGCACCACCTCCATTTCCCTTGATCAGAGTTCTGAGGCAGATGGAGGGTGCGGTTCACAGAAGAGATAGAATGTAGGCACTGACAGGTAAGATACAGGAAACAGATGGTACCTCTGAATAAGAAGATTTAAGCACATTTCAGTACCTTGACAGGCAGGGCTTTTAGTTTGCGACCTCCATGAATGAAGGCTGAAAACAGTCTTTTTTCATTCTGGTAGGGATAATACAGTACATGAAGGGGGAATGCTTGGAGGCAGCTGAACTCCTAATGAAAGATATCTCACTGTAGGTCACTTTGAATAATCCAATAATCTCTGCACTTGCTTCAGTGCTGTGACGGTGCTGTTGAGGAATGTTAATTTAAGTTGGAGTGTCAGAAGGATGTTTTCCTTTGAAAAGCCACATAAACCACCCATCTTTGCACAACAGGAAGCATGGCTTCGAGCATTCCCCCCTGAACACAGCTGCCCCCCAGACCAGTGCGCACTCGCTGGCCAAATACAATGAAACGTTGGAGAGCTTGTGATGGCCTGTCACTCACAGACCTGACTCAGACACTAGCTAGTGTTGATTAAGAATTTGTTGAAAAGTTGACTTTGATTCCTGATGGTGATGTGCTTTGGCTCTAGTTGGCCTTCGGTGTTGACGCCGTCTTTGTTAAAACTGAAATATTATCTGTGTACAAGGCCAAGTTCTTCCTGTGCCCAGTCACTGCTCAGGACTTGTATGAAAACCTGAGATCAATGTGTCTTTTTAAGATGTAAAGTGAGTGACTATCCAAGACTGAGTATCTACTGTTAGAGTGCCACTACTTGAATTTAATGTGATGGTGTGAGGAAATGTTGGAACCAGGAGAATGTTGATGGCGTTTCACCATCAACAACCCCATAACCTGTTTGTGTGTGTCTAACATGTTGATCATACTTTCACCGTGATGACTAAGAATGTGTGTTTGTGCATCTGAAGTCATGCAGGTTGACATGCATAATAAATATCCCCTCCACATTTCCCTCCACTTACTATTAAACGTACAAGACACTGCTGGTAGGAATGTGGAAATGCTCCTGTGTGATATATGGAGTGTTCATTTCCCATTTTCTTGCCAGTCCTTCCTTCCAGCGGCTTCCAACTGACCTGATAACATGCACTTTTGTGGCCTTTTAAGGCTTGTTCTTTGCATTTTATTGTTTGGACAGTTTAAACCTGTACAATGTAAAAGAAAAAAAGTATTACTGTATATTAAAATAGTATTTTGTGCAACTGTTCTTACTGCAGAGATATTGTACAGTTTAGAGTTCTAGTGTAGTTGTGAAGGATGTCCAAATGTGTTAATGTAATATAGATGCTGTATATGCATATGATTTTTCCCCCTCTAGGTCCATGTGTAATCATGTTGACAAATATTGATATTGTGTGAATGATTTTTCTTAGTTCTGTTTTCTCTGCATATGTACATTGCTGCAAGGTGTCATGCAAACATTTGTGCTTATATGAAAGCTAATGCTGCAGGACAAATAACTTTCATGTACATATTTGTGCTGGAGCATTGGTTAGTCTTTTTTTTTTTTTTTAGCTTTCATTAAAAAAAAGGTGTTCTGTTATTCAAAGTGTGAATGTTTCCGTCATATGTGAAGTTTACATTGTTCCTCACTCTGTCAGATTGTTTTAGTTCTTACAGCAACATAGTTTTGAGTTTAAAGATCCAATTGTTTTCAGTGTGAGAGTTTCACAGTGAGTTGGGACTGTTTGTGAATCTGAGAGAGCCAGAATTTTCTAAGGTAATCTGTTCACCCCCCCTTAAGCAGTAAGTTAGAAAATTCACATTTTGGCACTTTTTTTTCTCCAAATTATATCCAAGCACCATATCATGTTTTTCCATTGAATATACTATTATCACAACATACTTGTACATTTAAAACAAAAGCCTTCTCAGAAGGAAACGGGGTCTGTAACTTGTAGTTATTGATTTTCAGTCTGCATTGACATGTTGCTAGCCAGTTTTTGCTGGTGGTGCTTTAAAAAAACATTGCTGACTCGTTTTAACGTCCATGTTTTCCTATCAAACACTAATAGCTTTTATGTCTTTGCTGTAATACTTGAGGTTAAATTACTAAAATGTTACATGAACAGATAACTGGATAAACAATGCAAACATTTCACTTTGTTTTTTACTTCTCATTTCAGTGTCTGTATGTAATTCAATATTTTCATCCTGCATCCAGGATGCAGCCTCAAGTTAGGGTTGGATGAGACCTGGAAGGTGTGTGTATGTATGTATTTATATAATTTGCCAACTCAGTCGATGTATTTTGTTTATTTGTGTGCTTTTTAAACAACAGTAAATAAAAAAATCCATTTCAAACAAATTCTAGCAGTGTCTTTAGTATTTGATGTGCACTTTCTTGGAGTTTGTAGCCTCAAGAAGCTGCTTTGGTTTAGAAGTCACTTTAATGAAAAATCACAATATTTGATCAATAATGTGTACATACGGTTCTATCTACAGTCTGTGCTGTGGAGCAGCTTGTAGTTGCGCACTGGCACCATCGGGAGGCGCCAAATAGCTCCTGATAGAATTGACTTGATTGAATTCACAGATTTTAGTTATAAGGATAATAATAATTACCTTTATTGGCCAAGTATGTTACACACACAAGGGATTTGTTTCCGGTACAGAGCCGAGGCAGTCATCTGCGGCGCCAACTCAAACGGTGGCTCTAACCAAACGGGGGTGGGGGTTCAGTGTCTTGCCCAAGGACTCTTCGACATGTGGACTGCAGGCACCGAGATTCGAACCTTCAACCTTCCGGTTGGGAGACGACTACTCTACCCTCCGCAAATGTCGTACGTAAAACTTTATTTAATTACACCTCGGTTATTGAAAGCCAGAGTCTTTCCTATCGAGACACGCGCGCACTAACTCTGGTCCACGTATAATACCACTGTGCACTGGCTGAGGGTCACAGGCGCCAGTCCCAGCTGACAGCCTGGAGAAGTCCACAAGCTGGCTGCGCTCCATTTGGCCGTGCTGGCATGCCGGTTGTTATGTAGCAGCAAGGGCGGGGAAACCCCTTTGAATGGAGTGCGGGCGACACCTGAGGTGGCTGATGTGACGCTGATCTTCGTCACCTAATAAACAATGGATGGTAATTTGAGAATAGCTGTTGTAAAAGCCCTTGTTAATATCTCACAGGATGAGCCAGATATCAATCTGAACAATGCCATTCTAGCAAGTTTTAGTCCACACTTACCTCATACTGTATCTTTTCATACAATGCAACTCACTGTCTCTGTTTTTAAGTTACACAAAGGGGATACTAAAATGTTGTTTTTTAAAATAGTCAAATTAAATATTGTCCAATCAGCCCAGGTACTAAGACATCACCATACTGTAAAATGTGATTTTATGTTACTCAATTTGAACCAATCATCATTTTACAACAATTAAGGTCAAGGAATCAATTTTCAAGCTCAACATAATATTTTTAATTAATATTAAGATTTTCAGATCTGTTATGTTTTGTTTAAACAATGTAGTCTGAATTTGAGATTTTACAACATTCCAGTGCATTGATCTTGTAGTTAAGGGCTAATTTACCTCGAATTATCAACCAGCTGATTTCTGTGAAGCATGGGCTAATGTTACATTCAATTGCTGTCTGAGGACTAGAAGTAGTTAGTGTTTAAATGGTTTTGTGCTGGGAGTAAAAAAAGAACATGAATCGGAGAGAATAGTTTAAAATAGTTGTAAAATATTTTCTCTTCCTGCAGGTTTTTCTTACAGATTTGGTTATGAACAGCAGTATGCTATAATAGCAATAGTAGCATTAGTAACAGCTGTAGTGCTAGTAGTAGCCTACTGGTATTCTTTTGTGCGGCTTTAATAGTTAGGACATCGAAAATAAAAACGTACGAACAGCCTATGAATGCACCACCAAAGTCTGAGCCAATAGCGTTAGAGTAGAACGTATGTTGTGGTGGAGTCGACCAATCAGAGCTCGCGGTTCGAGTAAATGGACACTTAGCGTCGGGGCTCCGGCTCCCTGGAGGTATTGACCTGCTATTTGGTCTACAGCAACAAAGAAATCACCGCTACATTGCTGAAACACATCTAACGGCGCTGGAATACGTTACTTTGTCCTCGCTTCCTTTTACTTCGCAGAGAAATGCTCAGAGAAAAGTGTCGTTTGGCGGCCAGTTGAATTTCTGTTCGGTGAGTGTTTCCCCGTTTACCCCGGATGAGCTCCCCGCAGGATCTGGAGCAGTAGGTTGCGTGTAGTGAGCATCCAGTGTTTTCCTTCAGAAAGTATCTTCAGTTCATTTTGAATAACCGATTGATTGATCACCTCGAAACGACTTCCTGTAGTAGTCACTTTAAAATTTTGCTTCTTGTCACATGTGCTTAAGTTCTCACAGCGACATCAGAAACATAGCTTCGCGTTACCAGAATTTGTGTGAATATATGTGCAGCATGATGTGTGTGTATATTTATAAGGCAACTTCTGTGATATTACGTCATAACTTAATGGGATGGAAAGGATGACTGCGTCTCTGTATTGCCTGAATGGTTTATTAAACACATTTTGAGTGAGTGATAAGGGATGTGTATTCTAAATAAGAAGAAACCATGATGCATTCAGCATAGGAAACTGCAAAGCCCGTCTGTTAATCGATTTTTTAATCATTGCTTATCTAAATTGTGAGTTGCTCAACCTAAAACCAGGTGTTTCTAACTCGGAATGTTTTTTACCCCTAAAGAAAGACAGTAATCTAGTATTCCACAATAAAAGAGCAGAGATAAGATAAAAGCTACGTAATTCTAACAATGGTTTTCATTGATTATTTACACACTTAAGCGATAAATCACTTAGTCTGATGTAGAAAATATTGAGTGTTTCTGTTGTGATGTCCTAAAGTTAAAGATGATGTGTTCAGATCAGTTGTGCTATTCATTAAACAGTCAAAAGTCAGAAAAAGGACCAAATCATAACATTTTAGAACCTTTACCCAGCAAATGTTTGAAATTCTTTCTTTAAAGATTATTACAATGAATTGGTTATGGAAAAATTGTTGCAGATTAATTTTCAGATTAATTTAATCGTATGATCAACTAATATTTGCAGCTTTAGAAAAAAAAGTCCTGACCTCAGATGAGTAACCACAGTTCCAAAAACTGCTCTGCCAATGACCCTATAAACAGTGTCTAATAAAACAGATTTTCTTGCTTTAAAATGATACATTTCTAATGATTAACATTGGTTGTTTTTAGAAACTGGAAGATGCTTGGTTCTAGGAAGTGTTATTTTAATACCAGCAGCTGTTCAGCAGAGCTAAAGGCATTGGTGTAGCCTACATAGCTGACCTGGACTACATTTTTAGTGAAGTAACAGTGATTTCCTCACAGCAGTCGGCAAGTGATCAATCCTCTTGGCGGCTAGATCTTGATACTTACTCAGCTAAGATGGGTTATGGTGACAAGGACATGGGAAAACTGAGAGCAGATGGTGAGAACAGGGAGGCGAGGAGAGGAAAGAACAGTAGCTAGAGGTGGAGTGCAAAAAAGAACGGAGGAGAGGGCGAGGTGAAGGAGATGGAAGAGGATAGGTGATATGAATACGAGAGGAAGGAACAGTGGGAAGAGGACCTTGGAACCTGCTACCTCCATACGTGTTCTAAGTGCAGTGCCTCTTCATTTAGTTTAGTAACAAAGCAAAAAATGTGTATGTGTTTCGCAGTGGTGGGTGGAGACTGCTGGTTGATGGATGACCTGTCGAGAAAAGGGAGGGGGTGGTCGGTGGTGATAGAGATAGAATGAAGCATTGTAACCGTGATGGGGGGTGGGGTGGGGGGTCATTTATCTCTGCTGGATCTGTCCAGCCAGTCACTATGGGAGCTCAGGCTCACCAGCATCCTTACATCCCTTTCAACTTCTATCTCTACCTCCACCTCTTCTCCTTCTGCTTCCACGCCACTGCCCCCATCATTTTCTCCAGCAACTTATTGTCTCCTTGACCTGCTTGTTCTTCTTTCCTGAATATTTAGCTCTTGAATTTCCCGGCCGGTCAAATTTCTACACTGCACACACTTCAGCTTCAGTAGCAATTAAAACTGCCTTCAGCCTCTACACATCAGCTGACACAAGTTTTTCTTCTTTCATCTGACAGCTCATTTACTCCCACTGACATTTCAGCTGCTGTCACTTCAAATTCATCTGGAATTCCCATTGTTTTCATTGTTCACAGTTAAACTTGTATTTCAGCTGCATTCATCTCTTATTTTGTAAATGACAAACTGACAACTGAACTGCCTACAGGGCTTCAATTTGAAATTAGAATTTTAAATGCAGTCTGCAAATACTCTTCAGATCACACTGGAAGCATTTTAAAAAACATTGTTACCTGATTACACCTACACTTTTCGCCATAACTGAGCACATTTGAATTTTCCTCAGAATATTTAGGCTCTTCTAGTGTTGTTGTATATTCTTTTCATCTCTCTTCCTTTGCTCATTCAGCTCTTTCTGTCTTTTCCTGGTTTCCCCCTCCCTTTTTAAAGACCTCAGCTTTATCCCTCTAGAGGGACTAATAAGTGGCATTATGAATCGGTGTGAGCAGAGAAGCAGATGGTATTCAGCTTGTATGCGAGATAAGGGTTTTTGTCACTGCTACTTAAACTGAACAGATACTGCCCAACATTAATGTATGGAGTGGAAAAAAAATCCTTGAACCTAGATCATGGAAGTCAAGTGTGAAGCAAGTTTGTGTAATTCCTGTACAGAAGGGTGCTACTGATGTCAGAGTGCTAATTTAAATGCAGAGTTGGATGACTTCTTTTGGGAATTTTACAACTGTTTTTGTACATCAGCCAAAGGTTTGTCACAGAAATTCATTTCTAATTTGATTTTAGGCCTAGTTCTTGCCATTTGTGGGCTTATTGCTCAACTGTATTTGTTTATTTTACTGGGGAAACTCCACTTTTCCAAGGGTGTCCTCTCCAAGGCAGCCACATGGCTATGTTACAGATAAAGGATAAAAACATACAAGACTAAAGCTATTTTCACACTTGAACTCTGGATTGCATCTGCAGAATCAGGCCAGGACTTTTTTTGGGTTACCCTTTCACGCATGTAGCACTAAACAGGAAATGGTTTGTGTCAGATGCGTTCTCACCTACTGGAAATACTCCCTTTGGTTTATGTGAAGGAACATCTGGATAGAGGCAGTGGAGGTGCGACATAATGAGGTCAGGTCACTGTCTTCATTGTAACTGACCATCAGACATTTGCATTCTCAGATACAGCTCCTCTGGGTACTGTCTAGTTTGGGTACTGCAGTTTTGAAAATGGCTAAAGAGAGACAACAGTGCACAAAATTTCAATCAGAATTTAAATAGATAAGAACGAGTTTATATTCTGTCAGTGGTACCAGTTTCATTTACTCAGTTTCCTTTTTCAAGCTGTCCCTGATGGCTCAAACAGAAAACATGAAGACTTTCTTTGCCATATTGGTCTGAACGTTTGGAACACACAGCAGATGAGCGTCCTGTGATCTTGTGTTATGAAAATTACCGACTGCGGTAATTCAGAATGGATAGCCTTAGCTGGCTGTAGCTAACTCATAATGGACATAGAAATCCCGTCAATGAAAGCAACAAGCTGAAAACTGACTGATTTCAGCTCTCGGATCGGGGGCTAATGCTAGCTAGCAGCTGTTGACATATCACAGAAATACTGCAGATTAATCAATTTCTGTCCTGACTATGCTCAAACTGAACAATAAAGTGGACATTTGGATGTAGTTGAAGCATCAGCTATTGTCTGTTGCTGTATGGGAGAGTATTGTTTTTTGTTTTTATAAACTTATAATGTAGTAGTAGTAGTAGTAGTAGTAGTAGTAGTAGTAGTAGTAGTAGTAGTAGTAGTAGTAGTAGTAGTAGTGGTAGTAGTAGTGGTGGTGTATACCTCTGCGATGGATAATGAGGGATGCTCCAAAGATGGTGCATGTACCCAAAAGTCAACACAGCATGATGCCAACTTCATATTCTCTATAGCAAAAACCATTATACATACAAAACATTATACCAACTAAACATCAACATAATAGTACTGGAATGTTAGCATGTTAGCATTTAGCTCAAAATCCTGCTGCTAACTAGCAAACAAGCTATGCACATAGCCAGTTTGCTAGCTAATTGTTTAATCTTTCTTTCTAGTTCATCATTGCAAATGTCATCAATATCTTTGTGTCCTTGCACAGCTATGTAAATACAAGCATCTTCTGCTGGCAGAGGGAGCTGGGGTAGATTTATTGTCAGCAGCCTATTATTAAGTCACAAAAAATGTACACAAACACAGACACATTTACATAAATATACATACGTTACTAAAGAAAAACAGAACTCTTGTGTACTGCTGGTCTTTGACATCTATGACGTCAGCTGCTGCAGAGAGAAACAAACAGGAAGACAATGTATTAGCCCTGTCCTTGACAGGTGCTTAGTATATAAATGCACTGTACAACACACAGTGTTTTGTGCCTGCTGATGCACTGGTGACTCACAGAAGCCATTACAATGACAGGCTTACTCAAGCAACACGTGCATGGTAATATCCTTCTGGCACCTGTCGATACTGTGACTGGTGGAGAAGAATTCAGAGTCCTTCCATCCTATCTGCAACTTTTCTGGTGTATCTCCTTGTTTTTTAGCTTGCTGATCAGTTTATCAGAGCGAGGCTGATGCTGCTTGGCATCATGTTGTCATCCATGCGTCAGTTTGTTCTGGAAAGATTGCAGCAGTGAGTTGTTAATCGAGGTCCTCGTCACAGGGAATACAGCCTGACATCCAAGTGGCAGAGTTGGACTCTAGGGAAGATAATGGAGAACATGACATTATTAGTGTTGTGACAAACAGGCCTTGGTTCCAACTAATGTCCTCTCCCTGTAAACAGTGTCATCTTCGCTCATTTCATCTCACTGTGTCCTGTCTTGTCACGTATCTTTTAGCTTCCTGTTGTTCTCAGTCATCTCATCTGACATCTTGTCTGATACAATTGGAAATTTACTCTTGTCTTTTGGCTTCCTGAGGGCAAATGGGGCTGCATGGAGAAGAGTTGCGGTGTGCTCATTTACATATAAATGATGGCAGTGTAGCGCTCTTGCTTGTGTCATTTTAAGGGGAATTTGTGTGTGTGTGTGTGTGTGTGTGTGTGAATGC